ATTCAATATCCCCTGGATAATAGTGCAACTTTTTCGTTTCTGGATAGCAGAGAGGTATACTGAACCCGACTTACAAAGAAGTTACTATCAAGAAAATTAATTTTTCAATACTTTGAAGCTCGAAATTATCCTAATCGGATAAAATTGGTCATTCTTGGTCTTTGCTATAGTCTCATTGCACGCCAATAAGCAAAGAATGACAATTATAATTACCATTTTTTGTCCGGATCCATTTTAGTCCCAAATTAAATTAAAATATCCAATAATAAAATTAGTGTCCATATTTATAGCCCAAAATATAACCCAAAAGCCAAAACAAATTAGCCCATGTCCAAGTTGGTCCAAACAGCCAAAAATGTTAAAAAGCAAGAAAACCCTAGGGTTTGTGTAACCTTAGTCGCTGCCAACATTAGTCATTGTGTTGGGATTGATGAAGCTCAAATTGACAACCGAAAATAATTTTTGAAAAGGGGGAAATTGGTTTTTGAGAATTTTTAGGGATTAAAGAGATTTAAGGGGTAGAGAAATTGTTCACATCGATTTATAGTGGTTCAACTTTCTCAAACAAAATATACATCCACTACCTAAGCTCCTAACTTTGGGTTTTCCAACAAATCCACTAATTTGTTCTTTCTTTTTCAATGACAAAGAGATAACCTTTACAAAACTCCCCCTAACTTTTCAAAGGCTCGGCTAAGGATAAAAGAAGTAAACAATAAAACCTCTACAATGTAGGGTGTTTACAAATTAAAGCTCACAAAAACACAAATATGTACAAGAGAAAAGAAATAAAGAGTGAAAAGTTCTTCTCTTGTGTTTGATTGCTTGATAGGTATTCTAACACTTCTTCAAGTGTCTTGAACTTATATTTATATGTTGGAATCGAGTTGCGGCCATTTCTAGTCGTTAGGGATGATTTCTAATCATTTCGGGATATTTTCTCTGTAAAAATAATCTACCTAGTACAGAGGGTATCACTACTCCTAAAGGGGTAACGATACTACCTTTGTAATATTTAAATAAAACTAGTTGTTATTAGTCGTTGGGCCTGTCGATATCGATATTAAGCCTATGGTATCGATACTACTATATAAAGTAATATCGATACCCTTTGGTATCGGTACCATTTTTGTATTCTGGAATTTGAGCAATACTGGTAATATTGATACTTCCTTAAGAGTATCGATACTTCTCTTACCTTAGGTATCGGTACCACATGAACAGTATCGATATTGTTCATATAGTATCGATACTGTAAAAACAGTATCGGTACTTCGTACGTGAAAATCAATTTTGTGCTCAAATTCAATTTTAATAATTTTGAATTATTTTTAAAAAATTTGAATAAATTCAATTCAAATCCAAAAATATTTTGTCTTATTTTATTATATCAAAATATTATAAAACATTGTTCAACACGTTGGATATGACTTAGATCTAACGGTGCAGATTGCTCTAGAACATCCTAGACAATTCAACCGTCTAGAAATGCACACAAAATGCTTCAAGCCATCCTAGCCATTCGTGTGTAGCACGTATGATACACACCGAGAATCCCATCTCTCCATTCCTTATATGATCATCGGTTATGCTTTCCCCTTTGGTGTTTGTTGATGGTAAGGTCAAGGCCGAAAGGAAAAAGGGAGAACGGAGAAAAAAAAAGAAGCCTGTTTTCCTTTGACTCTCTTCATTCTTACCTACGAAAGGGGGAGAGACAAATGAGAAGAGGATATTTTGGTTTTGGAGAAAACAAGAGATGAGCTTTTCAATTTTAAAAATTAGAGAGAGTATAGAAGGACGAAAAGAAGAACGAGGAAGAGAAGCCATTTCTTGCAAAAGGTAGACCATTTATCCCTTTCAAAAAGGATCTAGAGTTTTTTTAAAGGTTTAGGGACTTACCTTTCCTTCTCCAATGGTATTTGAAGCATGCAGAGGGTCGCTCAGTCTTCCATTGCATAGTCTCGGCCACTGTAGACATGACAGAAGTGAGGACAGCAACCAATGATTGGCCTTAGCGGCAACAGCAAGCATTTTTCCTTGAACCCTAGAGTTCCCCCTTTTTCCTTTTTTGTTTTGTTTCAATAATTTTTAGTCAAAAATTGATTTTATTCAGTATACAAAGCAGCGTCGTTTGGTCATGGTGAACCTTTTGGATTATTTGTTGTAAGGGAGCTCCCCTTTTAACATTAATTCAATATTGACCTCATTTCCCTTTTATTCTTTTTTCTATTTATATTTATGCCTACTAATTTTGTGCTCTTCTATTTTAGTCCTTTATTTACAACTTTATTATTTATTTGCATTTGTTTAATTTATCCCCTTTCATTTTTTGGTATTTATGATTATGCATCTGCCTTTGATTTTATTTAATTTTCAGAACTTTATTTTCATTTATTTACATTTCATTCTCTTAATTTAATTTCAGTAATTGTATTTCTTCCCATTTACTTTTCAGTACTTTATTTTTTTAGCGTTTTGATTTTCAGCAGTTTATCTTTCTGCCTTTTCTTTATTTGTCTTTACATTTTGGTTCTTTTCTTGTTTTCCTTATTTATTTATTTATTTATTTTATTTTATTAAATTTCATATACCTTTTTTGTTTACTTCATTTTAGTCATCATTTCGTGCCATTATATCATATATTTATAACTTACTTTATATGTATATATAATAATTTGTTATATATATATACATGGTTACTGCAATAATGTGTAATATTATACTATTTATATAGTTCGTGTTAGATATAGAATGTGTCATCCTTACCTTATATGTGTATTAATTATATTTATTATGCATATTTCTGTCCATATATATATTGTGTCATATAGGTTATCTTTTTTTCTTTCTTTTGACTAAGTGTTATATATGTTATCTTTTTTTTCTGTCCATATATATATTGTGTCATATAGGTTATCTTTTTTTTCTTTCTTTTGACCAAGTGTATATGTTATCTTTTTTTCTGTACATATATATATTGTGTCATGTATGTTATCTTTTTTTCTTTCTTTTGACCAAGTGTTATATATGTTATCTTTTTTTCTGTCCATATATATATTGTGTCATGTATGTTATCTTTTTTTTCTTTCTTTTGAGCAAGTGTGTTACTATATACGTTCCTGTTCATATATATTGTGCTATATATGTATATTATATTTTTATTCTGTAAAGTGTGAAGAAAGGTGTATCAAGCGTTTGTGAAAATACATATTTTTGTGCTACTGACATATTATTATATATGTGTATATATACTAAGTTCTTATATATCATGTACTATATAAATATATTTTATAATTTTAATTAGTTATATGTCTATTATAAATAATTTTTACATCTTATTCGTTTCGTCTCCTGTACATACATACATGTACATACATAGTAATTGCTTCCTTTTAAAATTATTATGCGCATTAACTTATTTGTATTAAATACATTTATTTAGCATATATGTTTTTTTTAAATATTTATATATATTATATATTTGACTTTTATTTTAAAAGTAAATATTAATAGTTATCTATTAAATACCTTAATGTATATAATTATTATAGATAAATACGTCATTTTTTATCACATGACATCATTTTCGTATAATGTGTATGATATCCTCATAAGCACAACTTAACTTCAATTGATCAAATAATTGGACCATGGGTAATACTCCTTTGTTTTACAATTATATTAAGGTATAAGGAAGTCCTTTCCAATAATTTTAAAACGAAAGGGAATCCCGTCAAGTGAAAACTCAAAAGCCGAATCTCACCTAAAACTTGGGAACAAAAGAAAAAAATATTCGTCTATTTAAATTTATTAATAAAAGACCGTTAGAATGCATAAAAGATCCGATCACGATGTCTTTAAATAATCGAACATCATTCTTCTTTCTAAAAGGGTTAGTACTTTATAATTAATTTGTTTTTCTTATTTTTATTCATGTCTACATTTGAAATATGGACTAATAACAAAGTTTTGAATGGAATGGTGATATTTTTCCGTTCCGATTGGTAAGAGAATTAGTTTCTTTAACGCATGAGATGTTGTTTCTTTTTTATAGGAAATAGTTAAATATCAATCTTTTCCCTTCCTAAATTCGAAGACTATTTTTGTGTTTAAGAAAATGATCATTAATTAAATTAAACTCGAATTTGTAAGTTTCATTGCAAAGATAACTAACTAATCTAATAGTTACCGATTTAAGGTGTTGTAGAGTGTTAATCCTTCCCTGCATGTAATATAATCTTGAACTCAATTTTTGATACGCAGATATAAAAATGTTGTTTTAATAATATTAAAAGTAAATTTTATTATAATAATAAACCTTTTTTTGGGTGCTCAATCACACTCTAAATGGCAACTTATCGAATTATATATTTTTCTTAAAAATGAAACCAAAATTAATCTAGCCGAAGTTTTAAATTCCGATTTTAAAATCGTTTCCATACCCATTTAAAAGTTTTTTCTCACTGGGATTTGGCATTACTAAAAGCATCTAACTGTCCTTCGACATTTATTTATGACCAAACAATTACCCGTATATTTATTAAATATAAAACTTATTAATTTTATACAAAAATTAATATTATAAATATCGTCTAGGTACGTCCTGCCTTGACTACACAGAGAGCAAAGAAAAATACAAGGCAAAGTAATTAAGCTGCGAATAATGCAGGTGCCTCATATGAACAAGGGTAATGGCGACACTAGCTATGCTAAGAACGCCACGGTTCAGGTTTTGCTTTCTATTTTAATCTTTGAAACATCATATGCATGTTCGCGGTTTGCCGTTTAGTTTATTTTCTTCTGATGGATTGGAATTTGTAGAGAGAAATTATATCTGTGGGGAAACCAATCATGCAAGAAGCAGTGCAGGAAATGCTACGCAGCTGTAATGTGACGCATGGGAATCGCAGACTTAGGCTGCTCCTCGGGACCCAAGACTTTATCTGTAATCACCGCCATCACCGACACGGTGAAAGCCGAAAACATTCGTCTCGGTCGGCGCCTGGTGTCAAAGTTTAGGGTGTTCTTGAATGACCTTTATACCAATTATTTCAATGACATTTTTATGACGTTGCCGGATTTCTAAAACAGACTGAAAGAAGAGAAAGGGCTTGGACTCGGATCCTGCTTCAAATCGGGTGTTCCGGGCTCTTTCTACGGCAGATTGTTCCTTGCCAACAGCCTGCATTTCGTGCATTTTTCTTCCAGTCTTCACTGGCTCTCACAGGTAACCGCTTAGCACTGTGATCGATATCATTAAACAATTTCTTTGAATGTTCATTTTTCAACATGATTTCTGTAAAATACTTGGATGGATTTTGAGTATTGTGTCAAAAGTAGTGGACGATATATATTTGGTTATAGATTCAGCACCATCCTTTACCAAATTATCAAAACTCATTGCACTGATCCTCTCATGCAGACCTCAAGTTCTACACTTCCTCTCATACGGTCATGTTTCGGCTTTTTCGGGTTTTCATTTATATTACCACTCTCTTTCTTGTTTTCCTATCTTTCTTTTGAATTTTTAATGACCAGGATATGGTAGAATGTTACAGGCTCCAGCCGGCCTGGAGAGCGATGATCTCAAATATGTGAACAAGGGAAAGCTGTATATTTCAAAGAGCAGCCCCCAGTGTGTGATGGATGCCTACTCGTTGCAATTCAAAAAAGACTTTTCACTCTTCATAAAATCACGTTCCCAAGAAATAGTTCCCGGCGGCCGCATGTACCTTTCCTTCTTGGGCCAGAGATCCGCGGATAACACGACTGAAGAAAGCTGCTACTCCTTGGAGCTGTTAACCGAAGCAATCATGAGTCTGGCTAGAGAGGTACATACATGTTGCCTTTTTTTTTAGATGTTTTAATTTACCTACATTGCGTGCTGTTGAATCTTTTTCCCAGGGTCGAATTGAGGAAGAAAAAGTCGATTCTTTCAATGCCGCATACTATGGTCCATGCGCCGAGGAGATGAAGGAGGAGATACAAACAGAAGGGCCTTTCACAATTGATCGACTTGAAGATTTTGAAATTGACTGGGACAGTAATGTTGTCGCCGACATCCATACGCCTCAAGGGAAGCTGTTGATCGGACAAGGAGTGGCCAAAAACATCAGATCGGTTGTCGAATCCGTGCTGGAATCTCACTTTGGAATCCAGCCAGATGTAATGGATGATCTGTTCATTTGGTTTGCAGATATCGTTGGGACTCACTTGTCCAAGTCCAGAACCAAGTACATCTATACGGTGATGGTCCTTACTAGGAAGGGGTAATTTATCAAACTCAAATTTTCAAAATAATAATAATAATAATAATAATAATCTATCAAAGGGAAGCACGTCTTAAGAATAGTTTCAGTGGCACTATCTAAAGTTCAAAAGTGTGTGAAGTAAGAGTTGAATCTAAACTTGGTTTGGTTGTTGGAACATCTGTTCTCTTGTTCTATCTTGTTAAACAATGTCACGAGTGTTATGTTCTGCACTCGTTTCTTAAAGCATTCGAATAACTGGAGGAATATAATTAGTCGACTTTTCAAACTAAATTAGAATTTGTTCAATGGACGTGTTGTTTTCGATGGATCGTGATTCGATTATTGTTTTTTTTAATAATAAGAATGGATTATAAGGTAATATTTGTTCAAAATCTTTTCTAGCCAATGATAATGTACATAATCTGTAGACGCAGTTGCTTGAATATGAGATCTCTACTGACGTAGTTACTCAAACCCCGAGATAACTAGAGAAAACAACACTCTATTCAACCACTGAAGTCGCTTAATGATTTTTCTATGGAAATAGAAGTTGCTAGTTTATTAAAAAAGAGAGAAAATATCTAAAATTACAATGAAAGTATACAACCGTAAATATAAACTAAACACTAAAAATATAGTTGGGACATATTCCTATAATAGTTGACCAAAAAAACTAACGATTTGAGATAATATAATGACCACACAAATAAAAGGTTAGAAACTCATCTAAAAAATTCGAATAAAAGATAAATATGAATAGACATGATTGCATCAACAAAAAAACCCGAACAATGATCAAATTTTTGAAAGACCAATGACAATCATACATCAGAATCGAGTGTCGTGAGAAAATTATTTCCAAACGCAAAAAACGTATCCAAACCTAATTCGAGTGTACAAAGTAGAGAAATAAAAAAGATAACAAATAAACGACATCTTGATCAATCGAGACGTCGTCAAAATCAACCCTAAGTTTTTTTTAAAAGAGAGCAGTTTAACAATAAAAAACATACCAAAAAACCAAAAACAAATGTTATAAAAATAAATGAAAACATGTCATAAAAAGAAAGTTATAAAAAATTAAAAAAAACTACAATATAAAAAAATAAAGAAAAATATGAAATACAATGTGCTCAGTGATAAGCACCAAAAGATTAGGGATGGACATGGGTCTGTTTTTTGGTCCACTCGACCCGAGAAAATAGAATCCTCCACTCGAAACTCAACCTGACCTGACCAAAACAAGATTCCACCCAACCCGAACCCGACCCGATATATAACTTAAAAACCCGACCCGAAATAATAAACAATATTATTTTTATTCAATAAAAACAGTGACTTAATTGAAATATATATAGAGATAAGGGTATTATTGTAATTAGTCCTAAATATATAAGATAAAATTATATATTTTTCGGGTCGAGTATGATATTTTCACCCTAAATCCAAACTCCACAAGACCCGAACATCACATTAAAAAAAATCGACCCGACCCGAACTCGAATATTTTTTTAAAAATCCCGTCGAGTTCGGGTCTCATGCCCATCCCTACCAAAGATGGTGTCACTACCTGCTAAACCAAAAAATAAAGGAACAAAAAATCAAGCGCTATAGAATTTTTAGGATAAATTATGTATTTAGTATTTAAATTATTAATTTCAGTTCGTTTTGGCATTTAAACTTTTAATTTTTTTCAAAATCATACCTAAAGTTTAGTTTTTGTTTTATTTTAGTACCTCTCTGTTAAAAACTTTTTTTTGTTTCATTTTAGTAATCTCATTCAAAAGTTAACGTTAGATTTTGAAAAATTAAAAGTTTAGGTACTAAAATGAACCAAAAGTGATAGTTTAGGTATTAAACGAGTTAAGTTCTTAACGGCGGGTACTAAAATGAAATGAAAACTAAATATATGTTTGATTTTGAAAAAAAAATTAAAAGTTTAACTATTAAAATAAACCAAAACTGATAGTTTAAGTATTAAATACATATTTCATCATTTTTTTTAAGACTTTGGGACATGCTTGTAAATTGATCTCCATTTCCAAAGTAAAACTTAAGGTGCAAACATACCAACACTAATGCACCGAATCTTATTAGAACTTCGCAGCTAAGTGTGTGTGAGAGAGAATAGTACTAGGATGAGTGACCTCCTGGAAAGTTCTCGTGTTGCACCCATCTTCTTTCGAAATTCTTTTAAAAAAATTAAACAAACAAATATAAAAACGTATAATTATAAATATACAAACATAATCAATAATATGTTTCATATTAAACACGTATAAACTTAAAAAACAAACTAATGAAGAAAAAACTATTGTTGTTTCATGTTCAATTTATTTATAACTTTTATACATGGCATTCTTAATAATAGGATATTCAAATTATATGCACAAACAAAATCACTAAGTTGGGTGTGGTACAAGAACAAAATTCAGAATTCTAGCAGAATTGGCTTACAAAATAGAGCCACTAAACGAATCATATGTACAAAATACACAATGTTGATATATATACATTAATTTCAATAATGGTTGAATGAAGGCTGATCAGAAAACGTATTCCTTTTTGGCTTCTTCGTCGTCATCAATCTTCTCTTGCTTCATTACTTTGTTCCTTCCATCAATGAAAGCCTCTAATGCAAACCTGAACTCTTCATTGCTCATATCATCCATTATTCTCCGTGCCGGTAATTCCCTCATTGAGATGACCAATTCTTTGCTCATCCTTCCCTCCAGCCTTTGATGATGACGACGATGATTTCGACCGAAACACTCCCCGGAGTTGTCCGAACTGAGAGCCACTATTTCCCCGACAGCATTCTCCACTAGGATGACGTGTTTGTCGACTAAAATCTCTTCCGAATCACGACAATGTTCATCATCCTCTAGTGAAGGGCGAGGGTCAACATTGTCGGAGATGCAGTCACAGTTCCTTTGAGATGGCAGCTGTTTTTGGCTAGATAAAACGAAAAGAGCAAAGATGATGAAGTTGATGAAGATGAAAATGTGCAAAGGCTTGTTTGAAAGAGCACTAGAAATATCTACACATGTGCATAACCAATACAAAAATACAAAGATCAACACAACCCTACACAAAGGAACTTTAAGATTGTCCCTACTGTTTTGCTGGTCGTTGTACGAATATTCTTCCATATATTTCTCAAATCCCAAAAGAACCCAAACTTTTTTTTCCCTTTCTTTTTCACTAGGATGCCTTATTAGCTTAGCTTGGGTTGTATTTATAAGAGCAACCTGGAAAGTCGGAAGATTTGACAATGGGGTGAAAGGGCGTGAAAATCAATGGAAGTTTTGATATACAGGAGAAGGGATATCCTTAATTTAATACCTTCTTGAGCCTTTCACATTTTCAGGAGGGGAAAAAGAAAGAAAAATGATCATTTAGGTTTCTGTTATAATAAGAAACGCGTAATAACAATTTTGAGTTTCAAGATTTGAAATTTTCTTATTGATTTCATTATTTATCTATTGAGTTTTGCTATTTTTCAGGATTTCTCTGTGTGAAAGTAATTTTGGTTCTATATGTCAAATATAAAGGCTAAGCTAAAATTGAATTTGTATTAATTTGACTGGAGCTTAATAGCCTAACTTACTATGAAGTAATTAGAATCATTTAGGCACCTTTAATCATTGTTTTAACTAATTTAAAAGTCAAGAACTTTAATTAATAAAATAAAGGCTTATATCACAAATAAGTATCTAATGTATATCCTCTTTTTCATTTAAGTAAGTGTTTTTGGTTAAAATAAGTATCTAAAGTTATCTTTTTTTGTCAAAAATAGGTACCTAAGGTATTTTATGTCATAATAGGTACCTAAATTATTCAAACTTTTTCATCTAACTTTAAAAAAATTAATATGCGACATTAATTAAAGAATACTCTAGATACTTAGATGAAAACAACTGAATACTTTAAGTACCTATTTTGATCAAAAAATACTTTAAGTACTTATTTTGACCAAAAAGATAACTTTAAATTCTTATTTTGACCAAAAATACTTTAGGTACTTAAATGAAAAACATGATATACTTTATGTGATTATTTGTTATATAAGCCTTTATAAACCATGAAGAAAGAACTAAACAGTGTTATCTTAAGCATATTGATAACGTTATTTGACTTCTGAATAGCTTTCTTGAATTTTACGAATTCTTGTAACTTCCAGGCCACAGAGTTTGCTGACCTTTTTTTTTTTATTTCGGAGGAAGAAAATGAAAATTGAAAGAGAAATCGTTGAAACTCAAGGGCAATGAACGGATGAATTCAATTCAAAATTACTATAATTTCCTAGTAATTTACGTGGGAGTTGTATAGGAAAGCACTCAGCTGCTTCTATTCTTTTATTACAATTGTGTTTTTATTATTTTGATATCAAATTGTAGACAATCATTTCTTTGAAATATTATATTAAATGGTTAGACTGATGGATTAGTGATTCACCATCCCTCCTCTATTGTTTATTTTGGAATTCTTTCCCTCTAATCAAGAGAAGGGAAAATTGATTTAATGCTCTCATCATTTTGTAAAATGATTCCATCCATCCCAACATTCTACCTCAAAAATCAGAACTTTAAATTCAATAAAATTCTTTACATAGTAGAATCAAACTCACTCACCACAATCGGATGACAATTGACAAAGATAATGTTGAAGCCATTTGTAGGAAGAAAATGGTTCGAAAATAGTTATAGAATGTGATCATTGATCATTTTAGTTTAGGTACAATCCAATACTCATGAAATCATTCTTTTCAGGGTAAACTAGATAAATTGTCACTAATGTTGGAGTAAGTTTTTGTTTCCACCACTAATGTTTCAAAAGTCACAAATTGGTTACTAGCGTTATTGATTGTTACAAATTGGTCACTCCATGTTAACAACCATTACTATGGGTGACGGAAAGTTGACAAGACGTGTTAACCGCTAATTTGGCACCGCTTGACCATTATTTTGACCTACTCTTCTCTTTCATCTCCGCTCTCTCATCTCCATACTTCTTTTTAACTGAAAACCTGCCATTTTCATTAGTCTTTCTTCTTCAATCTTCATCTTAGCAATGAACCAAGTTGTCTAACCCTTGATAAAGGAAGATTCATTAAAATTATTGTTCTCTCTCAATCTTCATTTGCTCGCCTCAATCATGGATAAGAATAAATCTAAAGAAAAACTAAATATGGGTCCTTTAGATGGTAGTGTTGAAAGTTCAGGTTTTGATGCAAAAAAAAATTAAGCGATGAAAAAAAATAAAGGAACACCGAAAAGGTTAAAAGTCCAAGATGTGACAAAGAAGAAAAAAAAGAGAGATGAGGTGGAGAAAATGTAACACCCATATCCCGTATACCTTTCCGTACATGAGATACAGATGTCACATCATTTTAAATCCATTACCACTTTTAGAGAAACCTATAAAATTTTGTTTCTTTTCATTATACGTTTGAATTTAATATTTATAAACATTCATTAAAGACTTCAGTATATAATAAAAGTTAACGTTCTATGATTTTTATCCTTCCTACATCATTATAACCAAAAACTTTGCAGAGCGGTATCATAATTCTATTACATGCTGACTAATAATATCAAAATAGACATATCTATCATACAGTTGCTGATGAGGTGATTCCAGATTTGTGATGTCAGATGTACTCCTTACTCAGCTGGATAGAACCTACGCATGAAAAAAACATACGTTAAGTATTTCTTTAGTGAGACTAGAATACTAATGAGATGAGATTAATACGACATTATTTCATATCCATCAAAATACCAATTCATTCATTTAAAGTCATTATCATTTCTTTGAGATGCACATGTAGTGCCTATACGGTCGTTCATCAACATATGATGAATTATGTGGGTTGCACACTTAGTGCCTATACAGTCGTTCATCAACATATGATGAATTCCGTGGGTTGCACACTTAGTGTCTATACGGTCGTTCATCAACATATGATGAATTCCGTGGGTTGCACGTGTTACAGAAGAGTACGAGGAAAGGAAATATGGAATGGCAGTGGTGGCAGTGGAAGTGTATGAAGCACGGGATGACAAAGTAACCCGTTTCAAGTACTCAATACGTTCCCTACAAGGGCGGCTTGGGAACGTGCCACAGTAACAGGGTACGATTGACCGAATTCGAAGACGATCAATGCTTATCTGATGATGTTTCGGGGACGTCCGCTGGGTTAATTTTGTGCTTACCCCACTAGTCTTATCGTCATTCAAACCGGAGTTAGCTTTCCATGTGATTATCTGGTTTCCAGGGAGGTGATCAGATCTCTTACTCAAAGCTTGGTTGTAGTCATAACTTGCAAATACAAAAGGAAGGCAAAATAGAAAAAACAGAGGAGCCACTGAAAATTCCATTCGATGCTCTTTTTTGCATGGGACAGATCTTCCTCGACGAACCAAATCGGATCGATGAGTTAATGGAACAGATCTTCCCCGATGAACCAGATCGATGATTACGGAGCTGGCGAGCCCAAAGTTTTGTCGGCTGTATCGAGGAACTCCGCCAATCAAAGTTTCAAAATGGACAGTTGAAGGTTTATGAAAAGAAAGAGAAAAAAATAAAAGGAAGAAGAAGCAGCGGGGAGAGAAAAAAGAGTTAGAATATGATTTAATTTTTTTTTGGTATAACAGTAAGTTGATCCCTGAAAATAAGTTTTGTAATATTTTCAAATTGGCCACCAAAATTAATTTGGGGATTTGGAAAAAAAATTCTCAAATGTTAGGATTTTAATTAGGGTGTTACACTAATTTTCTATGAATTATTGATTTTATTTATGATTTTTTACATCTATTTATAATTTTAAAATTTTTTATATGGCGTCCCCTACCCTATAATTTTAGAAATTGTTGTTTTTCGTCTCCATCCCCCTATCCATATTAGTGCAACATAGGCGGAAGCGTTAGGTGCAGAGGAGGAGGTGATTGTGGGGAAGAAGAGGAAGAACCCAGAGGACGTTGGGGTGGTTGCTTTGGTTCCAAAAGAATGGTATGATGATGAGAATAAACTTTTGAGGACTGTTTTTGTAGGAAATTTGCTTATTAAAGTCAAGAAGAAAAGGTTGATAAAGGAGTTCAGCAAGTTTAGAGAGATTGAGTCTGTTAGAATTCGATTTGCTCCTCTAAGCGATGTGAGTTCTATGATTCTTTCTGCTCACTTGGGTCTTCAAATTTTTTAGTAAATTTTTTTTTCTAATGGTTTTCTTTCCTGTATAGACTTGGAAGCTGCGAAAAGAAGCTATAAAGTTAAAGCAAATTAATGAGAAAGCTGATAGATGTGTTGTTAATCCGAAATGGAGGACTACTTTGTTTTTATTTTTATCACTAATGTTACTTTTCCTTTTTTGCAGTGTTCGTGCATACACTGTTTTCGAAACCGAGCAATCTGCCTAGGCATCTTTAGCCAACAACATGGTTGTGGTATTCTTTGTTATTATTGCTGTCTAAACAACTATAATGCTTTAGGATTTGAATTAGACCTATTTAATGAGAATTTTTCGATTAAATTATTATTTAAAATGATTTCAGTGTTTAGGATGTGATAAATTAATTTTTAAGGGGTTAGATTTTTTAATCTTATATTGGATAAGTTATGAAATATTTATACCGAACGTGTTCCTCGATTAATTCTTATTTTATTAAATATTAAATGATTTTTGAACTTAATTGATTGATTTTTTATGAAATTCGAGTTTTTAAACACGTTATCAAATATTATTATAAATTATTTTATATTAAGTATCTCGTACTAGTTTTCAATTATCGAGTGATTATTCTGAAAATAACTTTGAATATCAAGTTAAGGTTTAAAGCGATTTATTATCACTAGTATGCACATACTCGATTTAGTATTAAAGTGAATTTACCTTTATATATATAGGGCTAGGTTCCAATTACATAGTGAACTAAAAAGTTTTATACCTTCTTAGGATCATTAGATGAGTGAAAACAAAATGTTGAGATTAACAGTAGGAAATGAAAAGATATTCACTAAAAAACAAGGAGTTAATCTCAGTCTTTGATTTCCCTCAATCCAACGATCTTACAATGGCGTAAAACTTTTAATTTTACATTGGATATAAGTCATTAAAATAACAAACCTTAAACCTTAAACAATTAATTGCTAAAAAACCAAAATCAATTTCTCTAACATTCTAATCAAATCCATTTTTCAAGCAGCAAACTAGTAGTTCATAAATATAACATATAACAAGTAACACTACAGCAAAATTGTTATACAGCGGCGTTTTTAGCGGCGTTTTGAGAGTAAACGCCACTAACTTTAAACATATAACGGCGTTTACACTTCAAACACCACAACTTTAGTGGCGTTTTTATACAAACGCCGCAATAGTAGTGGCGTTTTTATACAAACGCCGCAATAGTAGTACTTTAGTGGCGTTTTATAAAACGCCGCAATAGGATGGCATTTTAAAACGCCGAGTAGTACTTTAGCGGCGTTTTTTATACAAACACCGCAAAGAGTAGTACTTTAGCGGCGTTTTTATACAAAAGCCGCTATAGACACATACTTTAGTGGCGTTTTTATTCAAACGCCGCTATAGATACGTTCTTTAGCGGCATTTTTATACAAACGCCGCTATAGACTCGTACTTTAGTGGCGTTTGTGTTTACAAATGCTGCTAAAGTTTAAAGTTTACAATTCCCGCATCCTTTTTCATGTTTTCCCTTTCACCTATTTTTTTCATTCTGGCTCCCTCCCTTTCTGAAAAATAAAAATGTTCTATCTTCTCTCTTCCCTCTCTACTTCATTCACCACTTAATTCAAATTTCCTGTTTCACCACCACTACACCTCTCTTAGCGCTCTGCCTCCAGTGCCACTGCTCTGGGTTGCTCCCAATACATTTAGACCAAAAGTAAAACGAGATATAAGTCCAGAGGGAACCGTTGAATATGTCAAAAAAGGTGAACCTTTATCCATTAATCCGTTTATTTTCCTCTCTTGTTCTGTTATCTTTGTTCCTTTACACTAAAATAAATTAGATCCATTCTTATGATTTGCAGATATTTGATTTTGATTATTTCATTCAAGATATTTGCGAGCGAGATTGCAGTTGTGCAGGCAAAAGGAGATGAAGACGAGCTTCGATGATGGCCAAATAAGTTAGGCAATGCCTGGCTCCAGGAGTGTTTAGAGCAGAAACTCTGGAAAAAGGAGGTATATATATATATTAGATTTGTTTGTTTATGGGATTTGATGATATCAGCTTAATAGCTTACTGCAAAAAAATTTTCTTCTTCCCAGTTCCCACCACCTTTGTCCTCACTAGGGAAAAGATTCAAAAGCGTATTTGATTAATTACTTGATGAAAACAGAAGTTTTGTGGACATTCTTCCAACTTCCAAGTGGATTTTATCAGTAGATCGTTGAAAATTGGAACTACAGTCCGAGACTTCAAATGCGTAAGAGAGATGGTGTTGGAAACATGTCAGATTATTGGTATTGCCATTTGCCACTGCCCACTGCCATTGTTTTGTGATTGATAGCCATTCGCAGTAATCATCCATCATCTCTTGTTGGTGGACCATCCACCAGAGACGCATTCTCTCTGATCAATTTGAAGACCATCCAGTCCCACCTATTCGTCATCCCGTTCAATAATACACGTAACCCATAAATTTTCCTCATAGAAGTGTCTAAATTTGCTTCTTAAGTCATGAAAAGGACAATTCAAGTGTCTAAAAAGTTATGGATATCTGTGTGCCTCCATCACTTTCCAAGCTTTAGGTACTCGATATATATATTAATGGCATATACCCATAGTTTCTTTCAGCTGAGTTCTTTATTGCCTTAATTCTAAGCCTAACTGATACGAAAAGTTTGGCCCACTGGTTATCAACTCTTCCAATGATAAACAATATACCCTTGTTATCGGTTACTAAAAGTTACTAATTTTGGAAAATCCTTAGTCTGTTCTTCATTAAAGAGAAATAAAGCGTTAAGCGAAGAAAATAGCAGTACTATGTCTTTATCATGCATATTGCAATCAATTTTCCTTTTGCTTGTTGTGGCTTCAATGTTTCAATCAGTTAAAAATGGGGTTCTTCTCTTGTTTTGGCTTGTAGGTCTTATTAAACTCTTATAATTATATATACAGACACGCAAACACATCTTAGACGAGTTCTCTAGGTTTTGTTAAGCTTTTAGAATTTATACATACACATCTTAGACATGTTCTTACTGTTTCTCTTGGAGTCAGTTTCATAGCAGAAAAATCTTTCAGGTTTTCTTTTTGGGTTCAAACTTTCAAGGGTTTTATAGTAAATAGTCGTGTAGCAAGTATTATATGTGGAACTTTGTAACAAGTCAGTATTGGAACTTGAGCCTTTAGCTTTGTCTGCTTCTACAATCTCTAGTCAGTTAAATTAAGCTCCCTTCACTTCTCCCCCGTGAGTATGAGACTGCATCATCCGTTGCCAATCATTTCTTGTTGTCTGCTTAGGTCATGGGCACTATCTCTCCAATTTGTATGGCAGTTCCTTATTCAGTTTTTGAACATTATATACTTACAAATTCTGTTATTATTAATATGATTTTTTTAGGTTAATTTGATTCTTTATTCTTAATGAGTATGTCTTTATAGTTATTTATATAACTTTGATATTGAACGCTATTGAGAGGTGTCAATAAAAAAACTTTAAACATGCGCAATTGGGTTGTTCAATATTTCATGTTGAGAGTGTATTAACAGGCTAGCTTACAGAATATACATTGTGGTAGGGTAATTGGGTAAAGGGTGGATCTTTTCAATTTGACTTTTGCGATACTTTAGTTGAATAGCTGTGAAAGAATGGTCAATGATCAATAGCAAAACTAAATTAACTTCAGTCCTTAGTTCCTTGTGTTGATTAAAATGCATGTTGCTTACAAAACTCGGTGCATAAATTTAATTTGAGATTCTCACTGGATTTTCTAATTCCGCTGATTGATTTGTGTCAGGTGTTCCATTTATACTAAAGGCAGGGAAAGCTTTGAATTCAAGAAAGGCGGAGATACACATTCAATTTAAGGAGGTTCTTGGGGATATATTCCAATGTATGACAGTAGATCTATAAGATTATTTGGAACTTCATTTATATGATTGCTTGTTTCAGTAGAGCTGCAACTCTTTTGAAGTATTCTGACATTTTATTTAGGTCAAAAGCAAGGAAGAAATGAGTTTATCATACGCTTGCAACCTTATGAAGCGATGTACATGAAACTAACAGTGAGTTCGCTTAACTCATCGTATCCATCTGAAAGCTATTAGAGCTATAATTTCCATGTATGCAGAGTTTCCTGCTTGTAGAGTTTCCTTTATGCATCAAGAGAAATCAATAAGTTCTGCTATTTCTGTCCTAAATTTGAACATAATATATTTCAGAGCCAACAGTTACCTTTTCACATAATCATACATCTTCAGTTGTCGATCGTACATATGTTCCGATTCTCCTTGTGGAAACCTTTAGGCACTGTTGAGAACCAATCCTGAATACTTGATGTCCCTTCTTCATTTTATCATATTTTAGAAACATCCATATCGATGTTCTAGATTTTACTGATATTCGAAGTGGTGTTCTATGAAAACTGCTCATGCAGCCAACCATGAGTGTCAGGATCCTGCGTTTTTAGTTTAAGCTAGGAAACCGTTGCTATAATTTATTGCAAGATCTTTATGCATGTATGCTGATTTGCATTTTGCTTATGTTGTAGGTGAAGCAGCCTGGTCTGGAGTTCTCAACGGTGCAAAGTGAACTGGATTTTTCATACAGGCAACACTATCAAGGTGTTACGATCTCAGAAGCTTATGAACGTCTTATTCTTGACACGTACGATCCTTGCCTTTCCTGGTCGTTGAAATATTCTTATTCATAATCCTTTAATCTTCCTGCTTGAAACGAAATGCATCATTTTCATCTGAGCTTCAAACAATAGGGTTTAAGGTGCTGAAGTGATGATCGATGGAATCTGTTTATCGTTATGCAGGATAAGGGGTGATCAACAGCATTTTGTACGTAGAGACGAGTTAAAGGTAAGAATTTGTGATATGTATGCTTGGGAAGTTTAACCATTTGCGACCATTTTCATACTTGTGTTGGGATGTTGGTTGTATTTGATATGTTTAACCATCAGTTGAAGCTCTCTGTTATATGCATGTGAGCTTATTTGCAACTATTTGGTTTATATCTACCTGTAAATATTTGTTCCCTGTTATTATTGTATTTTATGGTTTCAACTTTGTTTTGACATGGCAACTCTCTTTTCTTGTGTTATAACTTTAATAATTCAATCAATATGTCTTTGACAGATACACCCAGTTATGCTAGATGTTGGTACTAACAATCTAAAGCTAATTGACAACCCACTTTGTGAGTAAAAAATGTATTTAATTACTTTGTTCTTATGTAGTTATTCCCTGCATAGACTGGAACATATGAAATGCTTTCTGTTACCTTTTTTAACAGATTGTTAAGATTTCTTTTGACTTTTTTTTGGGTTTGTACATATTTAGGACTAAGACAACCTAGGTTAGAAGGGGAAAAGTATCTATCAATTATTGATGAGTTCATTGAAGCAGTTTTAACACGTTGGCCTAAGGCTATTATACAGGTTTCTTTCTTTCAGAAGTGAGGTTTTTATTTTATGCTTGTAGCGTGATGTTTATTTAATGGCTTCCCCATTCAGGATTCCACATCATAATCACTGTGTAGGAAGGCCATTTTAATCTAGGAAAACTTAGTTTAGATTTCTGGAACGATTTAATTGCTTAGGTATCCTATGCTTTGGCCTGCTCTGAATAGTACTCACAGTTTTGCATCAAAAATTGTGGGTTGATATCGAAAGTTATGGCGTTTAATTTGTATTTTCTCAAAACTTGTTCTTTTACCTTACAGTGTTAAATTTTGTTCACAGACACCATATTTGCTTATGGCGTGACAAGCAGTGGGAAGACTCATACGATGCATGTAAGAAACAATTTGATACTTCGTTATCTGTTTCAAGTGAAGCATTGAAGCGCGCAAGGAGTCTTCTTGGTGAACCGGAGCCAGGGGATTTATTTGGTGAATTTCTAGTGAATAGTATTTTTTAATTGAAAGTGAAAGTAGCTAGACTAAATTCTAAAGAACAATATCAAACTACATTACTTTTAATTTTAATGTTTATAAATTTTAATTTATTTTGTTTAAATTTATGGTTGATATCAATTAGATAAAGCTACATGATAATAAATTTAGGTGATGTAGAGAAGAAATGAAATATGCAAAATATAAATTAATCTTAGAACAAGAACGATAATTAGCGGCGTTTGCATCCAAAAACGCCGCTATAGATCTGAAATTTTACGACGTTTATTCCAAAAACGCCGCTATAAATCTGACCTTTTGCAGCGTTTTCTCCAAAAACGCCGCTATAGATCTGACATTTTGCGGCGTTTTCATAGAAAACGCCGTTATAGATCTCGACCTATTGCGGCGTTTGTTCCAAAAACGCCGCTATAGATTTGACCTTTTGCGGCGTTTTCGGAGCTCGACTTATTGCGGCGTTTGTTCCGAAAAACGCCGCTATAGAGCTGACCTGTTGCGGCGTTTTCTAAAAAAACGCGGCTATAGATTTAGACCGATTGCGGCATTTTTTTCCATAAACGCCGCTAACTTTAGCGACGCTAGTATTGCCGGCGCTTCTTACGGCGTTTTTGCTATCGCCGCGTGTGCTTTTAGCGGCGCTTAAAAACGCCGCTATAATACTTAAAAAACGCCGCTAAAGAACATTTTTGTTGTAGAAACTAAAAATAATCTTAATGTCAGTTTAAACTAACTTTGCCAAAATATTAACTTGTAATCCATTTCTATAACTAATAAACATAAACCATTACAAATTAATCCAAAATATAGTCATACTAAAATATCATTAACACATTATATATATACATCACATATAAATATACATGCCAACTAGAAAATCAGAACACATTAGTAAGATGTCATTATTAACGCTAGAGATGTAGTCCTCGCTTCCATACTTCACTTGATTTCTTTTACCTACAAGTGAAATCATCACACACTAAGTATACACTTAATGAAATATTTTTCATAACTAAAAGTAAAGTATGACAGTATATAATTTAATCATAGATCGATAGTACAAAAAATATCATATAATAATATATGATAATACAAAACTGACTTACATCAAAGTCACTTATAAGTATAACCTGAAAATCAACATTTATGATATAAAGCATTTATGTCAATTTAAAGTATTTGATGAAAGATTTATTTTCAATCAAATCGATTAAATTTGTAATTTTTAATTTCATTCAAATCATAACCCAATATAAATAAATGAGAATATAAAGTACGCGAGTAAGATGAGTATGCACAAATTGCACTTTTAGACTCTGCAACAATAAGGGCGCAATCGTCATGGAACAAGGAAGTTCAACTGTTGCACTATTCGTGGATAATCTTCCCGATTCAGTTCATTGGAAAGGTTTGTGGCAGGTCGTTGGCTGGCAAGGAGATGTACCGAGCGTATACATTGCAAGGAAGCGGAGTCGTGCAGGTTCCAGTTTTGCTTTTGTGAGGGTAACTAATTTGAATGAAGCTTTGAGAGAGACAGGTTGAATGGTCTCGTAATATATGGTAACCGTACCTTTGTGGAGTTGGCTAAGTATAATAGTAAAGTCTGAAATGATAAAGGAGGGTTGGAGAGAATGGCATGGAGACCGAAAAGATTGAATCAACGATCAGGGGATGAATCAGTACGTGAGAATAAAGTCCAAGCGACTGCATTAAAAAGACAGTTATGGGGCACATTGATGAAACAATCTGAATAGGATGAAGCGGTGTTTGGTTGGGGTAATGGCTTCTGTTTGTAGTGTAGAGAGTATTATAAACAGACTTCAAAAGTGGGGATTGGGAGAAATTAACGTTCAGCGATTATATGGGAAATCTTTTCTGCTGACCATTCAGGATGAAGACCTGTTGTTAATGCTTGAGGACCTTCATTGGTCTTATCTAAAAGAGATATTTGAGGATGTATTTCTCTAGTCCGAGGCTGCTTGTCAGAGGGAAAGAGTAGTGTGGTTAGAATTTGTTGGAATACCTCTACACTGCTGGAATGAAGTTATTCTGAAGATATTGGCAGGTGTGTGGGGAAGATTTGAGGTGTATGGTGAGAACTATAATCATATTATAGATTGTGAAAAAGTGACCATGTTGATCTCCACTTCTCTGGTTTCCCGGATACATGAGGTTGTAGAGTTGGTGGTCGGTAATCTGAAATTCGATGTTAGGGTGTAGAAGTAGGGATGGTGGATCAATCGATGATTAAAGTGGCTGATTCTGAATGAAAGTGAGGAAGGGTTCGATGGAGAAGATGGTTCCCCAGAAAATCCCATCAGAACTCCGTCGTCGGAGTTCTCATCGGAAAAAGTGGGTGTCAATGAAGATGAAATGTCAGCAAAAGTAGGCTCATTAAATGAAGCATGTCCTGGAAAGTGTCCAGGAGAATGGGATAATGATAATGTTAGGAATCCAGACAATGGTGACTGGGAAATCGATGAAGGAAGTGAGAAAGTTGGTATCCAAACCGAAGAGGATAAAGGACGTTTCGAGAACCATGTGGCTGTTGAGAGAGGGGTAAAAGATACAGATAAGTGCTTGGGGCCGGTAGTGGATCAGTTTAATTGGCCTGGGGGAACTTTGAAAAGAGTAGAGGTGGTAGAGGTAAGGGATGATGATGATGTTATTTCAAAGTATGGGTTAGAGCATCTAAATGATAGGATAATTGAGGATTTAGCTGGTATGGGCTTTAAGGATGTGGCCAACTTAAATCCATTGGGGGAGTGCGATGACATCAGCAGGAGTGAAGTGCATCAGCTGGATTCAGTAATCTAGGAAGAGAGTGTCGTAACAGATTTTCGTCCAGGCACAAAATTTTACTTGACGGAAAAATAATATGGATAAAAAATTATTTTGATTTAAAAAATGTTTTGGGAGTCGCCATCGATCTTTTTGGGTTAGCTAAGTCGAATACCTAAAAATTATCTTTTAAAAGAGTTTTTAAGAAAATATTAGTTAAAAGATAAATTGGTATGCGTTTAACCAAAAATTCATTCTTCTTAGAAATAAAAAGGGATTCGTAGTCGGTTACGTTTGGGGAAGGATTAGCACCCCACAACGCCCAAAATTAGTACATGTCGATTATAAATTGTCTCTAATAATAGAATTTAAGAATTTAAATTTGAATTTAATTTACAATAGTGTTATTTCAAATTTAATATGATATTTCTAAGGAAAAATATTAAATATATATATAGGGTTTTGTAAATAGGACATTTATTTATTTACAAATATTAGAAAATGACATCTAGTTGCTTTAAGATTACATTTTCTTTAATATTAATAAATAAATAAATATTAATAAGAATATAATAATTTTCCTAAAAAATAATGAAGTAAATATATATATATATATATAAGCAGAATATTTATTTATTTTTAAAATATATGAATAAGACATCTAGTTGCTTTACGACTATCCTTTCTTAATATTTGGAAAATAAATAAATATTTAAAAATAATAATTTTCCTAAGAAAATAATTTAAATAAAACAATATGTATTTTCTGGTTTTTATAAGTAAGATATTTATTTATTTTTAAAATACCAGAATAGGACATCTAGTTGCTTTAAGACTGCCATTTTCTTTGATATTAAAAATAAATAAATATTATTATTTAAACAATATATATATATATATATATGACTAATATAAAATAAAATAATAATCAAAGTACTAAATTTAAACATATTGAAATTGAAATGATAATAATACAAATTACATTGCAATTAAATAGTGACTAAAACACATAAAATTAAAATAATAGGATTAAAATATAAAATATTAAAATTCTTAGTCAAAAATGAAAAGAATTAAAAAATCAGTAACTAAAATATAAAATATAAAACCTAAAGGTCCTAATTCGAATTATTATAAAATTTTAATGCTAACAGTGTAATTTATCCATAAATATTAATACGGGATTAAAATAAAATTAATAAAATTATAAGGGACTAAATTAGTTATTTTACTTAAAATATATAAAAGCATGGTAGTGACTAAATTATGAAGTAATTAAAATTAAAAGACCGAATTAAAATGATTATAATTGGATTTAAGTGACTAAAATGAAAAATTACAAAACTACAGGTATTACGGAAAGGGTTTTCCCTTATGTATAAATTACGTATATACCCCTCCCCTAAAACGACGTTGTTTGGGAGGGGTATATAAACCCCTTATGGCTGGCCCTAAGGGCCATCTTCTTTCATTTTTCTTTTTTTCACTCTCTCTCTAAAAGAGGGAGATGAAAATGCTCTCCCCTCTCTCTAGCTTCCCTCGCCGAAGGGAATTCCGGCAACCGCCGACCACCATATTCCGACGCCGATCGCCACCGCCGGCCACCACC